ACCCCGTTATACTGCCAGCCTAGTTCATTGCTACGCTAAGTTTTGCCAATGTGCGAAAAGGAGCGCCTATATGAACATAGAATTCACACCATCTGTATCTCACCAGCTGTGTGAGTTATACGGTCCTTATTTGATAGATGTAAATTTGCTCCACCATACCGCCATCGAACTGACTGCCAGGGGTACACACTGCACACAGCGCACAACACCCACAGGTTGGCTACTTGACAATTTGTCTCCGACGAGAAAAACATAGAGGAAGAGAGAGGACTCTCAGCTCTGTTTGTTTAGTTTTAGTAGAGGTTTTACGGCGCTCGCAACTGCATAAGGTCATATGAGCGCCAGTGGATGTATGTCAACAGAGAGTCCTTACAGGGAATCAAACTTACTCTGCTCATCTCTCTAGTTTCAACAGCACAAAGTCTGCTTCGACTATCAAGGCACCCCGGAAATAGTAGGTCACAAGAGAGTAACAAACATACAAAAGAAGTAGAGAACAAATGACGATAGTAAGGATGAGGAAAGAAAAAGCAGCAGTTCCTTGTTGCAGGTCAGGCACGGTTATGAGCGTGACATTGATGAATCAGTCCATTTATAATTACAATTCTACTGAGCATAAGAACTCGAGAAGGTAATGTCCCCCAATTGGGAACGGCCAAAACACACTTCAGTCAGCAGCACTGCTCAGGAATACATGTGCATGTACATGTATATCACAAACAAAAAGACACTTTTCGAACACAGACTTCACAGCAGAATCATGTTCTTTGACGTTGAACCGCCAACCTAGTTGTTTTGCCTCCCCCCTCCCACCCAACCCCCAAGCTCGTCACAAAGTTAGCAGTATGACGAGGTTTGACCGAAGAATTCCAAGATCCATTGAGCCACTATTCGAACCTATCAAGAGGTTAAAAGTGCAACAAGAAATTATGTTGCATATATCTATATATGTCGCGTGCGTAGTGCGTGTCAGATTGCGACTACGCTTGATTAGAGGGGTTAGGTTTTCTCCCTGTCCAACAAGGCGAATTCTCATTCTCTCTTGTTATGTTTCCATGATCCTTGCCTCTCATTCAATCTCTTCTTTCTCCTTCTAAAAAATCTCATTAATGCGCTTACTCAATAAATGAATAATTGATTCCCCAGTTTAGCCTTTCAAACCCCACATAACAGATTCTCTCTCTCTCTCTCTC